TATTTGTTCATTCATTCATCCACTTAAGACTTTTTCTGTGTGCCTATATTTTCTCGGTTGCACTATTTTAGGGACACAGTAATGAATAAGAGTCACATGGAATTACATCCTAAAGAGGGAGTCAATAGGCAAGTGAACAATTACATAACAAAACAGTGTCACAGGCCTGGATCTGGGGGAATTAAGGGCTATCCTCATAACAGAATTGCTACCAGCCCTCCTGTAAACCATGATAAAATGATATTAAAGTTTTATCAATTTTATGTGTGAACAAAAAAGCTTTCCATGATAAATCGTATATTGGCCCCCAAAGATGTCCCTGCCCTAATTCCCAAGACCTTACATGGTAAAAAGATTTTTGCAGATGTGGCTGCTAAGATTTCTGAGATAGGATGATTGTTTTAATGTAATCACAAGGATCCTTATGGAGGTAGGCAGGAGATGTGACAGAGAAAGAGATATGACAAAAGAAATAGAGACTGGAGTCAAGGAATGAGGGAGCATCTAGAAGCTAGAAAAGGGAAAATACAGATTCTCCTCTAGACCCTTCAAAAAGAATGCAATCCTGCTCACACTGATTTTCAGCCTTCAAAACCCATTTTCAGACTTCTGACCTCCAAAACTACCATGTTTTCCCAAAAATAAGAAATCCTTCGAAAATAAGACCTACTTACAGGTTTCCTTCTGAGTGAAATATAAGGCATCCCCCCGAAAATAAGCCCCCCCCCCCCTAGGCTAAACATGAGAGATTTGGTCCACTGATTCTGAAAGAAATGGAGTCATAAGAAATTTACCAGGAAATTCAGGAATTGGATTGTTATGATGATGTTCCAGAAGATGATGACATGATTGTCATTGAATAAATGAGTAAATTCTTGATACTGTAGGATTCACAGTTTGTCTGGTTTGTGTTGACAACTACCATACTACCGTACCGTACACAGGTAATAAATTTCCTTTTTTTTCATTTAACAATAAATGTGTACTGTATTCTTCATGGAAACATAAGACATCCCCTGAAAATAAGACCTAGCGCATCTTTGGAAGCAAAAATTAATATAAGACACTGTCTTATTTTTGGGGAAACAGGATATATATATATATATATATATATATATATATATATATATATTCTTTAATCTATCTATATATTTGTTTACTATTGGAAAAGGAAAATAGAGAGTAGATAGGCATGAGTTGGTGATTGGAATTAATTAAACTATTAGTAGAAGAAAAGAACAGTGAGGAGAGGAAAAACAGAAGCAAAAAAAAAAAAAGAAAGAAAGAAAGAAAGAAAGAAAGAAAGAAAGAAAGAAAGAAAGAAAACTAACCAACAATCAAATAAACAAGTCAGAAAGAAATAAAAAAGGTGTGTGTTGGGAGAACAGATGAAGAAAGAAAAAAAATTGGATAGTGAAGAAAATGAAGAGATAAGTGTGCATGGACTTAGAGCAGAGGAGAGGAAATTAGATATATTAATAAGATTAATTTTTTAACAGACAGTAAAAAGAAAAGATAAAGAAAAACTAAAATAGGTACAGGGTAACAGAAACCAGACGATAAAGGGGAAAATTGAGGAAGAGTGTTGGCATAAAAGAAAAATTGAGATAGAGTAAAATAATGCTAAAATTAAAATAAAATGTAGAACACTAATCCTAAAATAAAATAAAAAGTAAAATTATATATATATATATATATATATATATATATATATATATGCAATTGCTAAACCATTCAACCAGTAGTTATGACACACACTGACCACCATGAGGAAGACACTCATCGCATAGGCATAGAAACATAGAACAGACTGATGAATCTCAGAGGGGAGAGGGGAGAGGGGAGTGCAGGAAGAGATTAACCAAAAATTTTATATGCATACTAGAGGCTTGGTGCATGGATTTGAGCACCAATGTGGTCCCTTGGATTGGCTTGCAGGTCCATGAGGGGCCCCAAATTGCAAGAGGGCACAGGACAGGCGGAGGGACTCCAATGGTTCACAAATCTGTGCATTGGGCCTCTAGTAGTAATAATAATAATTAAAAATAAAAATCCTATATAATAAAGAAATAATATGCAAATTGACCATCACTACAACACACAAGATGACCGCCCCCATGTGGCCAAAGATGGCCACCCCCATGTGGACACAAGATGGCCACCACAAGATGGGTGGCAGGGTAGGGCAGTTGTGGGTGACCAGGCCAGCACAGGAGGGAAGTTCGGAGGGAAAAGACCTGAAAGGGAGTGCAGTTGGGAGCAATGAAGCCTGCTGGGGAGTACAGTTGTGGGATACTCAGGCCTGCAGGGGAGGACAGTTGGGGGTGACCAGGCTTACAGGAGAGGGCAGTTGGGGGACCAGGCCTGCAGGGCAGGCAGTTGGGGGTCACCAAGCCTGCAGGGGAGAGCAGTTGGGGGGGGGGCATGCCTGCAGGGTAGAGTAGTTAGGGTGACCGGGCCAGCAGGGAAGGGCAGTTGGGGGCTACCAGGCATGCAGGGGAGGACAAATAGGTATAACCAGGCCAGCAGGAGAGGGCAGTTAGGGGCAATCATGCAGCAGTTAAGGAGTGATCAGGCTGGCAGGCAGAAGTTGTTAGGGTCAATCAGGCAGGCAGGCAGGCGAACGGTTGGGAACCAGCAGTCCTGGATTGTGAGAGGGATATCCCAGATTGGAGAGGGTGTAGGCTGGGTTTAGGGACCACCCTCCCCCTGTACAGAAATGTTGTGCACTGGGCCTCAAGTATAATAAAAAAAAAGTAAAATCAAGTGAGAAAATTTGGTTTCTTAAGTAAAATAAAAAAGTGAAGTAGTGAAGGTCATTCACTTTCTCTACTGTTCTGCTTGGCACGTCTGTTTTCTATCAGATAGTCAGCACAGTATTGAAGCTCCCTTTGATGCACCGCTCCTCTGTGTCATAAGCCACAATCCTGTTTTCAAGTTCTCTGCTTTCATTGTTTCTCAGCCTACCTTTAGTTGTATTTACACAAGACTGAATTTCTGATACAACCCCTGGGTGGTGGTGTTTCTGTATTAATCTATAGGGCTAAAAGGCCCCTCTACCCAGTGTTTAGATTGTTCTATCCCTGCTGCACTTAATACTGTGTTGGAGGGACAGACTGCCCCAGAGCTGGTTTCCTGTTTGTCTCTCCCCACTGTGATCCCCAGTTTCCACAAAAATAACTTCCCCCTGCAGTCTCAGTGAATGTTTTTAATTGGAAGAGCCTATGGACTTAGCAAGCAAAAGCAACGAGTTAGAAAAGAAAAAAGCCAAAGCTTACTCGCTTCTTTTTCCCCTGGCACTGTGCAGCCAGTATAGAATTTCAAGTTGCCTTTCTGGACCCACCCAGCTGTGGGCTAATATCTAGAGTCCCCTTCTGACAGCAGCCCTGTGGACCTCCTTCCACATTCTAGGGCTACACTGACCCCAGCAGCCATGGATTTTGTTGGGGCAGTGTTCCTCTTAGACTCTAGTCCCTGCTGTGCTCATTTCTGCCTCCAGCCTGGATCCCAGATCTCACTTTTCTCTAGGACAGTGGTTCTCAACCTCTCTAATGCCGTGATCTTTTAATACAGTTCCTCATGTTGTGGTGAACCCCTAACCATAAAATTATTTTTGTTGCTACTTCAGAACTGTAATTTTGCTATTGTTAATGAATCATAATATAAATATCTGTGTTTTCAGGTGGTCTTAGGCTCTACAGCAGTGGTTCTCAACCTCTGAGTCCCCTGTCTGGGCCTCAACCTGTGAGTCCCACAGGTTGAGAATCACTGTTGTAGAGCCTAAGACTATCGGAAAACACAGATATTTACATTACGATTCATTAACAGTAGCAAAACTACAGTTATGAAGTAGCCACAAAAATAATTTTATGGTTTGGGGTCACCACCAACAAGAGGAACTGTATTAAAGGGTCGCAGCATTAGAAAGGTTGAGAACCACTGATATAAGCAATATCTGACCTTTCTGTCCACAGATTGCCTCACCAGCCATGTTTAATTCACCAATTCTGGGTGGGTGTTGTTTAATCCAGCTGTTCCTTCTGTCTGCTCTGTGAGAAGGTGCAGGGCCCATACACGTATTCAGAGCTGCGTCGTCTCCCCCTGGACAGACTTTTCAGGCGCCCACAGTTGGGAAGGCTGGAGTCCCAGTGTTTATGGGTTTGCAGCTGAGGCAGATGTCCCTTGGGCATTGTGGCTGTAGGGTACTGGGAGGTATCCGAGGTCTCTCAGGTTGAAGGTAAGGCTGGGCTTCCAATCGCAGCTGGTCTCCCCTTAAAGATGGCTGCTCCAGGAGAGATTTCAGCAGCAGTAGAAGTTGCTGGGCCAGGGGAGCCCAGTCCACCAGTTCCCAACAGTCCTGTGGAACAGCTGTTCCTCTCCCACAAATACAGACACTCACGGCATGTCCACACACTCTGCTTTCATTCTCTCACTCACACACTATCCTGTAGCCTGCTGTCCTGTCAGCAGCCATCTTCTGGATTCTATTTTTTAGAAGACATATAGGTGCCAACTTGATTTTCCTCTCACCAAATCTTTTAAGGACTTGGTAATTTGATTATTTTAAGTTGATAATTCAATTAAAAGTTTAACCCTGCAGAATTTTTAGAGCTGTATATGCTGTATATTGAACCTATTGATTAAAATCTGAAAATATGGCCATTGGACTTGAAATGGGTATGTCACATCTAAAACATTTTGCATGACAAATTAAATATCATTCTGTGGATGAAATATAGTGACCTATTTCAAAGTAATATTTTATTCTACTTTTAAAAATAATTAATTTTGGAAACTTATTATTAGGATAAAAATATTTTGTTGGAATCATAATAAATCAGTATTGACAAATAAGTTCTTCCTTTCTGTCTATCCCTCCTTTTCTTCCTTTCTCCTTCCCTCTCACTTCCTCTACCCTGCTCTCCTACCCTCCCTTCTCTTTCCCTTTGTTCATCTTCCTTCCCCTACTCTTCTCACACCCTGATCCCACCCAACGGCAGATGGTACGTGAACAGTACACTACAGCCACAGAAGGCACCCACATAGAGAGGCCAGAGAACCAGTGTATCTACAAAATTGGCATTTATGGCTGGAGAAAGCGTTGCCTCTACTTATTTGTTCTTCTTTTACTCATCATCCTTCTTGTGAATTTTGCTCTTGCAATTTGGATTCTTAAAGTCATGTGGTTTTCCCCAGTAAGTATTTATTTACTTTTATCTATCTTTCTATCTATCTATCATCTATCTATCTATCTATCATCTATCTATCTATCTATCTATCTATCTATCATCTATTATCTATCATCTATCTATCTATCTATCTATCTATCATCTATCTATCACCTATCATCTACCATCTCTCTATCTATCCATTATTTACTAGAGGCCAGTGCACAAAATTTGTGCATGGGAAGGGGGGTTCCCTCAGCACAGCCTGTACCCTTTCCAATACGGGACCTGGGGATTAGACCTAAACTGGCAATTGGACATCCCTCTCACAATCTGGGATGGCTGGCTCTTAACTGCTCACCTGTCTGCCTGCCTGATGACCCCTAACCGCCCCCCTGGCTGGCCTGGTCACCCCCAACTGCAACCCCTGCCAGTCAGGTCACTCCTAACTGACCCCCCCCAACTGACCTGGTTGCCCCATAGTGCCCCCCCTGCCAGCCTGGTCACACCCAGCTGCATCACCCCTGCCAACCTGGTCACCCCCGACTACCCCCCTGGTCACCTCATGCAATCTACTTGTTCAGTCGTTTGGTCATTCCTCACTAACCCCCCTGCCGGCCTGGTCACCCCACGCAGCCTGCTGTTCAGTCATTTGGTTATCCCTCATTAATGCCCTGCCAGCCTGGTCGCCCCATGCAGCCTGCTGTTCCATTGTTTGGCAGTCCCTTACTAAACCCCCAGCCAGCCTGGTTGTAGGCAGCCATATTGTGATGGTGTGATGGTCAATTTGCATATTACCTCTTTATTATATAGGATTGCTGGTTGGCATGTTTTGGTTATGTTTGCACCATCACTTCATCCATATTGTATTGGTAGAAGTTTTCTTTAGTGTAATTAATCTTTGTTTCCTATATGTATTAGAATTTTCAGTAGCAAAAATACATGTAACACTTTCCCTTTTTACCCTTTTAAATAACTTCAGTGTAAACTACATGCTTTATTGTGCTTTGTTTATTATAATTTTATTAGTAATTATCTTTACATGGGGGAAAATTGTAATAATCTTGAGTTTATGGTTGGTTGAGTCATGATAGCTTAATAATTTTTTAATTCTTTAATTGGTAAAATTTTGTTATATTTTTCTAATCTCATTAATTTATAAATATTTATCATTCAGATGGTACTTTCTCATTTAAAAAAATGTACATTCTGACACGCAATAAATTGTGTATTTTTTGAAAAAAATCTGTATAATGTAGAATGTAAATAATTACAGTGAGAAAAAAAATGCTACAGTGGATACCATATTTAGGTTAATCTGCTCCTTACATTTATTTTGAAGGTGTGATATAGGCATGGTTTTTTCCAAGAACAATAGTTTTAGCATTCAGTCTGAAATACCTTCTATTAATTAGTATCCTTCACTTTCTATGCAATAATTTATTTTCTGCCATAATTTTATAGGCAGTAGACACATTTTTGTTGTTGTTAGCATAATAAATATTTATATTTTCACACATTCAAAGAGGTAAAATACTAATCCAATCAAAATATAGCTTGAAATGTGTGTTAATATATTTAACATAAATGCATTTAAAATATTTAATATAAGTATATAATATATTATAAACTATATATAAACATTACACATAAATATATTTAAATTGTGATTTTTTTTCTTTAAAACTTATGGCAACAATATTTTTACAGTATAACAATAATGTTTAGTTCCATAGGACAGTTTCTCTTTATAAATGCAGTACAGTATATGGTATGCATGTTTGGTATATCACTTGCCTTTTATGTTTAAATTTAAATACCTTATTTTTTTGGAGACTGAATCAAGGTTGAACTCCTCAAATTATAAGTTATGGAATCTGTCAGGGAAGTCTCCTGACTAGAGGACCCTGTATCAACCTGTGGTCATCCCTCGGTTAGCAGAATGCTAAGAGAGAAACTGTACTGCCAGTAAGACCCTCAGAAGGGCCTGGGAGGAAGAGGAAGCCATCTCATAGCCTGCATGGGCAGGGGACAGCTAGATTTTAATAGTCTCTTGCATCAGCAACTGAGTTCCATCATGTCTTATTTGGGAGGATCAAAATAAATCAACTTAATTTTGTTGCTTTGGGTTTTCATGATATCTAGAGTATACTATGAAAACAAAAATCAAATTTAATGATAATAATGACAATTACTAAAATGTCTTTGTATTATTAAATATATTAATTTTACTTTTTTAAAAAACTACTTTTTAAAAATTTTTTAAAAAATTTTCAGTCTATTTGCTGTGATAGGCAAAATTCTAAGAAGTCTTTTCCCATGACCTCCATCTCTGGTGTTGTCCGGTATAATCCCCTTTCCTTGAGTATGGGTAGTACCTGTGATTAGCCAACAGAACTTGGCAAAAGTGATGGGATTGGATTACATTGAATAACAGAGGTGAAGGGACTTTGCAGATATAATTAAGGTTCCAAATCAATTGGGTTTTAATTAATCAAAGGGAAATTATCCTGAGTGGACCTGATTTAATTAGGTAAATGACCTTAAGATCTTTGATGAGAGATTCTCCCAGAAGCCTTGAAGGCATGAGATGCCATGTTATGAGGGTCCATGAGGGTGCCACTTGGCAAGGAACTGCGGGTGGCCCCTAGGAGCTGACAGTGTGCTCTGACTGACAGCCAGAAGGAAAATGGAGACCTCACTCCTACTCTCACAGGAACTATCAACCACCACAAAAGCTTGAAAACAACAATAACAACAACAACAAAAAACACCCCAAACTCCAGAAAGGAACCCATCCTCACTGATATATCAACTGTATGAGACACAGAGCATTAACCAAATTCCTGACCCATGGAAACTGAGATAGGAAATAGGTATCATAAGCTACTACATTTGTGAAAATTTCTTACATGGCAATAGAAAATTAGTATAGTGTTACTCCATTATTCAAAATGTGTTTCATTTCTTTTATTAGATATTGACATCCCCCCTGCCCCCAAAAAAGAAAGGAAAGCAAAAATTAAAAACTCTAAAATACCTAAATGAACTTACCTGATGATCTATATTCTTAGTCATTAATTATTAGAGAAATATTTAATTGATATCTTTTAAATAACTGAGTAAACAGCAACAAGATAAATAACTTAGCCTAATCTAATAATGTCTATTTTAACCACTCACTACCTGGGAAATTATTTCATTATAAAGTAAATTATTCCTTTTTTAAAATTTTATCTTTATTGTTGAAAGTATTACTGATGCCCCCCTTTCTCCCCTCCTTCCTACTCCTGGCTCTTCCCCAGACCTTTACCCCACTATTGTCTGTGTCCATGGGTTATGCATATATGTATATAAGTTCTTTGGTTGATCTATTCTCCCCGCCACCCCTCCCCCACCACTTCCCTTTGAAAATTCTCAGTCTATTGCATGTGTCTCTGGATCTATTTTGTTTGATGGTTTAGTTTGTTCAATAGATTCCACATACAGTAGATTCTCGGGTTACATTCCTACAGTCCAACATAACATCATTTTTGCCATAAGTCGGAATCCATCTACAAAGCACCTACATCACTCACATGAAGCACATACACAGCAGTAATAAAGTGAAACAGTAAAATAAAATAAAATAAAAAGATAACAATTCCTAACCTTTACTTGTGGCAAATAAATAATAAAAAACATAAAGGACATATGTACATACATCAAAATGACGGAACTTTTTTTTTTTAAATAAATAAACTAGAGGCCCAATGCACAAAATCACAAAATTTGTGCACTTGGGTGGGGTGGGGGAGTGGTCCCTCAGCCCAGCCTGCACCCTCTCCAATCTGAGATCCCTCTCACAATACAGGACTGCTGGCTCCCAACTGCTCACCTGCCTGCCAACCTGATCACTCCCTAATCACTCCCCTGCCAGCCTGATTGGTGCCTAACTGCTCCCCTGCCAGCCTGATTGCCCCTAACTGCCCTCCCCTACAGGCCTGGTCACCCCTAACTGCCCTCCCCTGCAGTCCTGGGGGGTTCCCCCCCGAAACTGCCCTTCCTTGCAGGCCCAGTTGCCCCAACTTCCTTCCTCTGTCAGCCTGATTACCCCTAACTACCCTTCCCTGCAGGCTTGATCGCCCCCAACTGCCCTCCCTTTCAGGCCTGGTCCCTCTCAACTGCCTTCCCCTGCTGGCCATCTAATGGCGACTATCTTGTGTCCACATGGGGGCATCCATCTTTGACCACATGGGGGCAGTCATCTTGTGTATTGGAGTGATGGTCAATTTGCATATAATTCCTTAATCATATAGGATAGAGGCCTGGTGCACAGGGGGGTCCAGCTGATTTGCCCTGAAGGGTGTCCCAGATCAGGGTGGGGGTTCCTGTGGGGTATTGGGCTGCCTGGACCAGGGGCCTGCGGTGGTTTGCAGGCCAGCCATGCCCCCCGGCAACCCAAGAGGAGACCCTGATATCTGGGATTTATTCATTTTCTATAATTGAAACTTTGTAGCCTTGAGCAGAGGCCAAGACCTTCCAGGAAGCTTCGTTTCCTCCATCACCAGGGGCAACCCAAGCCTCCTGCTCTCTCCAGCTCCGTGGCTGCTACCATTTTTGTTGGTATTTATTTATTTCTATAATTGAAACTTTTTAGTCTTGAGCTGAGGCCAGGGCCGGCCAGAGTGGGTGGGAAGCTTGGCTTCCTCCATTGCCAGGGAAACCCAAATCTCCTGCTTGCTTTGTGGCTGCAGCCATCTTGGTTGGATTTATATTCATATTTGCTCCTGATTGGCTTATGGGCGTGGCTTGTGGGCATAGCAGAGGTACAGTCAATTTGCATGTTTCTCTTTTTTTTTTTTTTTTTTTTCCACAAGAAACTGATCTTCACTCAACAAAGTTCTACACAAGTGGAATCTCACGCCACCTCGGCGCCACTCCCCAGCACAGCACAGTAACAAATGGACAGACCCTGGAGCCCGCAGGAGGAAGAGGGGGAGGGGAAGGAGGGACACGGGGAGACTGTGGATCGAGGCCGTCAGGGTCCACAGACCAGGGCAGGCGAGATTGAGAAGCTACAACTTCGTTGTACAAAAATCAACCAAAAATAAATTAAAATTAAATAGTTAAAAAAAAAAAAAAGACAATGAACCAGACTCCCACTTTCCTGAAGGCAACTGGAGTCCCTCATCCTGGGTGGAGGAGTTTCCCAACCCAGCAGCCAGCCAATCCAATCCACACACCCCGAGACCCAGCAGAGGATGCTCCACAGAATTGGAATTACCAGGAACTTAAATGGTATTAAATTTTTTTTCTTTTTTCTTTTTTACAAATGGCTTCCAGAGACCTGCTGGATTTTAAAGGGGGAGGGGGAACCAGCTGAGTTTATGGAATGTGCACCAAGTGCCCCTTGGAATAGAGGCAGGGCCTGGCCTGTCTGAGGAGACACAGGACCATGGTGGGGGTAGGGTCCAAGAACCCCATGGGATGGATGGAGCAGGCCCCAAGATGCAGGAATTGTCAGACCCCCAAAGCTCCTAAATGCGCCCCTAAAGGAAAAAGCTGGGGAGGAGAGAGAAGAAAACCTTAGGGGAGCTGCAGGGCTCAGCTTCATTTGTAGCCGACTCGGAATCACATCCCCTCTGGTTCCAGGACATCCCCTCTCGCCATGACCACATCCCTGGCCAATCCCAGGATTCCTAGAATCACCGCCCCAACCTGGTGGGCTTTCGGGGCCGCTGGGAACAGGGATGAACAGGAAGACTCAGGGCCTCACTGCCCCTCCTCCAAGCCCTTGCTTTCCTTTTAGCTGGTAAAGCATAAGCTTTTGTCTCATCAACATCAATTAAATGCCCAGCCCTTATTTTAAAAACTTGGGCCTGGAACTTGAGTGCTCTCAGGAGCAGAGAAATAGATTGCCCTTTAAATGGACCTGCTTATGTAGAGAGGCAGGGGGAGAGGTCAGCAGCTCTGGCCACTGACGCTCTCTTCCAGAAAAAGGCCCCAGCCCAGTGTGTTCATGTCACTGGAGCACAAGGGAGGGAAAAGGGAGACCTTTGGCCAGCCCTGGCCACACTCAGTGGTCCCCTCTCTATTCTGACTGGGATGAGACAAGGAGAGGGACAGGGTGGCTGCGGCTGCCATAGAGCTGGCAGGAAGTGCGCTGAGCAGGTCCAAAGTGTGTGTTTGCTGACAGGGCAGCCCCAAGGTGACCATCGTCTTATCCTGCCCGGAGTTCCCAGCAAAGGACCCCAACCCACCCAGCCCTCCCCAATCATCATCAATTCTGGTAACACGGCTGAAGCGTCTTAAACTCTAGATGCAGGTTACACGGAAGGCCTCATGGGTTAACTCGGGTTCACTAATTCTACTGTCTCCATGCAGTCAGGGAAATGGTGGGGCAGCTGACCAAGGCTAGCTGGCTGCAGCGCCCACACATGCGTGTAGCCACGTGTGTACGTGTGTGTACGCATCTCTACAGGGACCCCCCCTCCCCGCTTGCTTTCCCCTGCCTCATCCTAAGCTGGATTCAGTCGGCCGTACTGATTCTTCCCTCCCACGTGGCTGGCCCTGTGGGCTGCCTATGGTGACCTTACTTAGAGAAAGGGGCCCTTGCTGCCAAGAAGTCCCACCCCCCTCCCATTTGTAGGGTGAGCGTGGACGCCCCACCCACCCGCCCACCACTGGCTGGCCACACCGGCCAGGCATGGCAGGTAGATGCGCAGGGAAGGCATCTGGATTTGGGTCCCACTCACTCCTCCCTAACCCCCCTCGACCAGGGCACAGCAACTTCTGGACGCGGTGTGCTCCCCAGCCACCCCTCTGATGACGACGCAGACAGAAACCTGCGGGGAGAGGAGGAATCAGGGCCTGCGCTCCCTCAGCCCGGGGGGCAGCCCCAGCCCCTGCGTGCAGCCTCCTCACCGGCAGTCTCACTGCTCCTCTAGACCCGTAGAAGGCAGCCAACCTCTCCTTGAGCAGCGGCGGGAACTGCTCTGAGAACTGCTGCCAGTTTTCCTCCCCAACTTGGTCTTTGAAGCCATGGAGAATCTTATAAAACATGTGTAGATAAGGAGGATTCTAAAAGAACTGGTATAGGAGGAAAAAAGAAAAGGAAACAGAAAATAAGTGAAATAATAATGAATTTAAAATGTAATGATAATGAATATAGAATATAGATAGGTAATTTAAGATGGAAATAATGAGAAAATCAAAATAAAATAAGGAAAATTATCACAATAAGAATAGGTAAAAGTAGAATAAAATCAAAGGGATGAGAGAGAGAGAGAGAGAGAGAGAGAGAGAGAGAGAGAGAAAAGAAAATAAAAGAAAGCAAATAAACAACAAAAAGTAAAACCAACAATATTCATTCACACACACCCAGACCAAAAAACAAAACCTCATACACACAGACGCACACTGAAAAATCATTGGATCTGCTATTTGCGGAGCTCCTTGGATTTTGCTCTGTTGTTGAATCTGGTCCCATGGTGTGTTTATCCTAGGCCTCCTGGAAGCTTCTCTGGTGCAGGTCAATGAGTTACTGTCCCTTTCTGGCCCACTTGATGGAGGTCTGAGGGGTTGAAGCCCTTAATGATCCAGTGGTTGGGGACTCCTTGGCCCATAAGCTGGGTCTGCCTTGTGTCTCGTACCTTGATTGTCCCTTCTGTAAGCTATATTCCCTTTCTCTGTGGTACTGGGCTCTGCGGAGGTATCCTGGTCTTGGCCGGCCAGAATAGTTTGATCAGACTCCTGTTTTGTGTGGTGCCAGTGGCTTGTAGGAGAGGGAGCAGGCACTCTCTCTCCTTCTAATGCCTCGGCTCTGGTTTGCTGGCACCTCCTTTCTGTTACCTGCAGGGGCACAGATTTTTCTGCCATGGAGTGTACCCCCTTGCCTCAGGGCACTGCAGGTCATGTCAAAAGCAGCTGTTTCACCAGTGGGAAAGAGGGGATTTCCCCTGTGTTCTACAGAAGTCCCACTGGTATCTGTTAAAGGCATGTGGGCCTGGGTTGTAATCTCTGTGGGACCAGGGCATGGTGCATCCAGATGGTGGCAAGGCTTGGCTGCTCCCTGCAGCCTCCTCCCAAAGAGGACCTTGTAAACCTTTCAAGGTGGAGCTGTGCCAGGGAGTGGCTGTGGTAGTAGCAGAGGCTTTTTGTGCCCATATGAGGGGTCCCGTGGCTGTCAGCTGCAGATGGATGGGGTCCTGCTGCTGTTCCCTTAGGCCCATGGCCAGGGGTTGTCTGTTGCAGGTGAGCTAAGGCTCTATCTGCTGCTGCTGGGTACTTAGATGAGTGAACCTGGGGTTGTGTCCTTGGGTCACTCTCACATCTATTCAGGCCAACTGTGGCTAGTCTGGGTGGTGGCAAGGTTGGGCACCTACCCACTGCTGCTCCCTGCCGCCTCCTCCCAAGGTAACATCTAGGCTTCAGTTGTATTTCAGCTCCAGGCCCAGAAAAGTAGCAAAACTAGGCAAGTGATGCCGTGGCTGCCTCAGGACCAGCTTTTACCTCCAAAGTCACTCAACAGGTTTCCTCAGTCTTGGGTATGACATACAAATTCCACTCTTCATACCACTCCTAATCTTTAGGGAAAATAGAAAATGAACCGCACCCTGAAGAAAAATATAGGCAATCTAGGTCAGGAGACTCATCTGCACTGGAATCAGGTGCTGCCAATCGCCCTGCTCAGGTAGAGTAGCTCCCGAAGGGGGTTGGTTTGAACACCTGCTAGCAGATGATCCCACACGCATGAAGCCGTACCCAAGTCATGTGCATTTAATTGTGGTGATTTAACTGAATGCACACTTTTACTAGATTTTAAATTTATTCAGGATAAATTTAAAATTACATTAATACATTTAGAAAACTTTTCTGTGAAATTAAACTTTTCATGCATAGTTAATTATAATTACACAAATATATTTACATATGTAAAAACAGGTAAACTAATTTGTCAAATTTTTAACAAACCCATTCAGGTTTGCTTTACTATATAATGGACTTTCAGCTTTAATAGACACCCCCTCACTTGAATTAGTCCACTATATCGAGGTTTTACTGTAGAAGAAAATATAAAAGCGATAGTCAGGGCTTGCATTACTTATCCACACATGATGGATCTTATAATATTCTTAATGTTGGTTTAATTTTGTAAACCATACTTTGCAAATGCATAGTTGGATCCTGTGAGAGTCTGTTATCAGCCTTTGAGACTTTGAGCCCTTTCCTCAAACTAACTGCGCACTGAATCACGCCTGTAAGAGAGACTACAGAGGGCTGCCCTGCCTGTGGTGGTCAGCCCAAGCCCCGCAGCATGAGGTGCTTCCATCGAGCACAGCGGGAAAACCACGGCTCCCAGACCTAACTTTGGGAAGAGTACCATAAAGATGGTCCTCAGATAGAGAACCATGCAGATTATGTAATCACACATTGAATTTGGTTTTTGTGAATGGACTTGTCTACCAGAGAAGTCTATGGCATCAGTTCAGAGAAACATATTTCTGTCCTAGAAATCAATCTCCCGTTACTATATAAAATGATTTTGTTTCATTCTCTTGGCTCTTCTGCTGCCACCCCTCCTTCCCTTTTAAATCCATGTCTATTTTGGAGGAAGAGAGGGAAAATAAAGATTCAATGAGTTTAATTTAGGTGCTTCCAAGACCTAAATTAAAGGAGAGGTCTGATTGGCAGCCGTATATATGGGTATGGAGCATCAGAAGAGAGATGCCAGAGGAAGCCGAGAGTGTGGCCAGAGAGGGAAGACAGGGAAAGTACCTAGGATTAAGCTTGAGAAAGTCAGCTTAATGTATGAATGTATAATAAGGGGGAAAAGTGTTTCCTGAAGTAGAAGAAAAGCTAAGAGAGCATGGGATGGTGGTCATCAAATGAGGATAGTATTTCAAAGAGAAATAGATCCAGAATTGAATGCTGATGAGAATGTAAAGGAAATGAAGTTTTAAAATGTCCACAAGATTTAGTAGCATGATGGTGGTATGTTATCTACAGAATTAAGTTTTCTATTATTTCTGATACTTCTTTAACATTGAAAACTCCTTAAGAGTGGACACCTTAAATAGATCTCCACTTCCTCCTATATTGCTTTTTAGTTAAGAAATGCCCAATAAATATTGGCTATTTTGTGAACTTGATACACTTGAAGCCTTCATTTAAAAAGTATTTGTTTTGGGGTGTGGTGGTGATAGAATTGTTCTATATCCTGATTGTGTTGTGGTTACATGTGTTAAAACTCCTAGAACTCTACACCTCAAAAGAGTTGTTTTTATTGCATCAAAATTTAAAACATTTAAAAATTTCTTACATGATGGTAAGCTCTTAGGTATTTATGGTAAAAAGATTCTTTAAATCTTACATGTAGTTCCTAAATGGGCCTTTGTATTTATACAAGACAATAAAATGCTGCATATTAAATAAAAATGACTAAGCTTATAAATAAGTATTTGAGAGAAATACAGAAAAGTGCTAATAGGAAATTCATGAAAATGCATATGTAATTTAAGCTGATCTTAAAAGAAAACCATAACAAAATCTCTATTGTCTCATCTTTTTAACAGATAGGAATGGGTCACTTGCATGTTACAAAAGATGGGCTTCACCTGGAAGGGGAATCAGAATTTTTATTTCCATTGTATGCCAAAGAAATACGCTCCAGAGTGGTAAGATAACGATGAAACTTTTAAATCATTGGTGTTTTATGAAAAACAAATAATGGTTAAGCACAGAAATTTCTGAGGAGAGTTTTTAAAATGTATACATGTACATACATTCATGATACACTCTTTATTAATGGATTTGCTCTAAGGCTGTGGAACTTATATCTAATACCCTGTTTCCCCGAAAATAAGATAGTGTCTTATATTAATTTTTGCTCCCAAAGATGCGCTAGATCTTATTTTTAGGGGATGTCTTATTTTTCCATGCACTAGGTCTTATTTTCGGAGGATGTCTTATTTTCAGGGAAACACAGTACTAGAGGCCCAGTGCATGAATTCATGCACCAATGGGATCCCTCATCCTGGCCTGTGGGATTGGAATGAAACCAGCACTCCAACATCTCCTGAGGGGTCCCAGATTGTGAGAGGGCACAGGCCAGGCCCAGGTACCCCACTGGTGCACGATCTGGGCCAGGGAGGGATGCAGGAGGTTGGCCAGCCAGGGAGGGCTGCAGGGTATGTCCGGCTCCTCTCGGTCAGTCCCCATTGGCCTGACCCCAGCAGTAAGCTAAGCTACCAGTTGGAGCATCTGCCCCCTGGTGGTCAATGCACATCATAGTGACTGGTCAACCAGTCGACTGTCACCCCTCTGGTAGTCAGTGCACATCATAGTAAGCAGTAGAGTGGCATTAGCATATCATTAGCATACTAGAGGGCCGATGCATAAAATTCATGCACGGGGTTGGGAGGGGTAAAGGGGGGAGCGCCAAGAGGGGAGTGTCTCTCAGCCCAGCCTTCACCCTCTCCAATCTGGGATCCCTCATGGGTTGTCCAAATGCTCTTTTAGACCCGATCCCATGGTGGGATTGGGCCTAAACGGGCAGTCAGACATCCCTCTCACAATCCAGGACTGCTGGCTCCCAACTGCTCACCTGCCTGACTTCCTGATTGCCCCTAACTGCTTCTGCCTGCCAGCCTGATCACCCCTTAACTACTCCCCTGCTAGCCTGTTGATGTCTAGCTGCTCCCTTGCCAGCCCATTTGCCCCCAAATTCTCTCCTCTGCCACCTGGTCACCCCTAACTGCCCTCCCCTGCAGATTTGATTGTCCCCAACTGTCCTTCCTTGCAGGCCTGATCCCTCCCAACTCCCCTCCCCTGCTGGACATCTTGTGGTGGCCATCTTGTGTCCACATGGATAGTCATTTTTGACCACATGGGGGCAGCCATTTTGATCTTGTGTATTGGATTGAGGGTCAATCTGCATATTACTCTTTTATTAGATAGGATAGAGGCCTGGTGCATGGATGGGGCCAGCTGGTTGCCCTGAAGGGTGTCCCAGATCAGAGTGGGGGTTCCCTTGAGGCATGGGGTGGCCTGGGTGAGGAGCCTATGGTAGTTTGCAGGCTGGCCATGCCCCCCAGCGACCCAAGCAGAGGCCCTAGTATCTGGGATATAGTTATCTTCTACAATTGAAACTTTGTAGCCTGGAGTGAAGCCAAACCTTCTGCTTGCTCTGTGGTGGCAGCCATTTCTTTTGGGGTTTATTTACCTAATATAATTGAAACTTTGTAGCCTGGAGTGGAGGCCGAGGCCAGGCAGGGCAGGTGGAAAGCTTGGATTCCTCTGTCGCCAGGGGCAACCCTAGCCTGCTCTCTCTTGCTCTGTGCCTGCTGCCATTTTTCTTAGGATTTATCTTCTATAACTGAAACTTTGTATCCTTGAGTGGAGGCCTGGGCCAGCCAGGGTGTGTAGACAGCTTGGCTTTCTCAATTGCCAGGGAAATCCAATCCTCCCTCCTCCTCTGTGGTGGTGGCCATCTTGGTTGGGACTTAATTTGCATACTCACTCTGATTGACTGGTGGGCTTAGCTGGTGGGCATGGCTGGTAGTTAATTTGCATATTTCTCTTTTATTAGGTAGGATTACACTTGGTTAAATGGCTGACTGGATACAGCATATTAGGCTATTATTATATAGGATTACATTCTAAAAAGATTCAATTTTCATGCACTTCAAATCTGAATTTGGTGGTCTCAGTCATTTGAACCATAATAAAGTTTGGTAATGAAAATCTTTTTCAAAAGCATTTAAATTGTTTTTTCTAATAGTGCAACCAATTTAAATATACTTTTTTTCAAGGCATTTAAGATTAAACTGAGAAGAATAGAAAGAAATTAGTGTTATAGTGGTATGTTCTATAGTAATTCTACTAATTATACTGATTGTAATCCTGTGGGATTCTTCATTAATAGATTAAACATCACTATTAAATAATTGTGTGACTTTAAAAGTAAATCTGCCTCAGTATTATATTCATTTACTTCTATGAATTTTATAACAAGTAGAGCCAGGTACAAAATATAGTCAAACAATTTTTGTACTATGTTTTATTCTACCTATGTGATTCTATGGACTTTGTAGTAGAGCTAAACTTTTTGCTAGATTACTGATTAGGTGGTATTAGCTAAATAAAATGTTAAAACTTTGTCTAACTGCAACATGTAAATTATAAGTAATTTTTCTCCCATCTTTCTAGATATGAAAAAATATGTCAGTATCTACGACATGCAGGGTTGTACCAGCTATTCTAGAGCAATTAGAAAGAAAACAAAAAGTCAACAACTGAGAAACACTTGATCTTGTAAAAGAGATAAGCACTCCTAAACTACACATCAGAGCAATCACCAAGCTCTACTAACAACGGCAAAATAATATGGTGTAAAACTTACACAGAAATACTGACTGCAAAGGAGAGATCCTAGAGAGCACAGGACACATCAGTAGTTTTTAGCCACTACTAGAAATATCTCAATTAACAGTAGGAGCAGGCAAATGACCTGTAATATGAACCTGGTTCTGAGGGCTTATTCAGAGAATACACTTACATCAATCATAATGGCATTTCAGTGTAAAACAGCCCTGTCATATAGAAACATGGGGAATTAATGCAAACTTTTATAAAAAAGGAAAATCAGATGTGAATGAAAAATTTACATATTAGAATTTAGCCTTCTTTTCTTTCAGAGTTATGTTGGCTGATCCCTTACCATATTTTTAAAACCTAAAGCTAGTAGAATAACCTGGTGAATAAATTCATGTGATTAGATCATAGAAAATTTAATATTCTGGAATTAATAATACTTTCAGTTATATTTTATTAGACTCTTTCATTTATGTATACTTTTAAAAAACCAGGGAGTAAAATTATTAAATTGTTTTAGATAATCACATATTAAATTAATATGTCAATCATTACACAAAACTGCACAAACATTTAGAATATTATGGATAAAGTATTTTGTATCTAATATGACTTTCAATAACAGGGTTCACTGAATAAAATGATGTCTTGTGATTTTCATGTTCATTGATGTATTAGTTATGTTTTCTTTTCAAAGATGAATCTAGGAAGTAATTTTTCATAAACTTACAGAAATTGCCTTATGAATTTGCAAAATTAATTTGTATTGCTGGGCTGAGAAAACTTTTTATCCTATCTAATAATAGAGTAATGCACAAATTAACCACCACTCTGCTACACCCACAAGCCACGCCATCAAGCCAATCAGGAGTGAGTATTCAAATTAACCCACCCAAGATGGCTGCGGCCACGGAGCAAGCAGGAGGCTTGGGTTTCCCTGGCAATGGAGGAAGCCAAGCTTCCCTCACACCCTGGCTGGCCCAGGCCTCCACTTAAGGCTACAAAGTTTCAATTATAGAAGATAAATAAATTCCAGATACCAGGGACTTCCCTTGGGTTGCCGATGGGTGTGGCTGGCCTGTAAACCACCACAGGCCCCTCTCCCAGGCAGCCCTATGTCCCTAGGGAACCCTCACCCTGATTCAGGACACCTTTCAGGGCAAACCAGCCGACCCCACCCGTATACCAGGCCTCTATCCTATCTAATAAAAGAGTAATATACAAATTGACCATAACTCCAACACACAAGAAGGCTGCCTCCATGTAGTCAAAAATGACTGCCCCCATGTGGACACAAGATGACCACCACAAGATGGCCTGCAAGGGAGGGCAGTTGTGGGTGATCAGGCCAGCAAGGGAGGGCACTTGGGAGGGGCCAGGCCTGTAAGGGAGGGCAGTTGGGGGCAAACAAGTCTGCAGAGGAGGGCAGTTAGGGGTGACCAGGCCAGCAGAGGAGGAAAGTTGGGAACAAACAGGCTGGCAGGGGAGTAGTTAGATATCAACCAGGCTGGCATGGGAGTGGTTTAGGGGGTGATCAGGCTGGCAGGCAGAAGCAGTTAGGGGCAATCAGGAAGTCAGGCAGGTGAGCAGTTGGGAGCCAGCAGTCCTAGATTGTGAGGGTGATGTCTGACTGCTCATTTAGGCCCGATCCTGGTGGGAAAGTGCCTAAATAGGCAGTCATCATCCCTCGACGGGTCCCAGGTTGGAGAGGGTGCAGGCTGGGTGAGCCCCCCCCCCTCCTCATGTGCATGAATTTTGTGCACTGGGCCTCTATTAATTTATAACAATTGAACAAATATTAAGGTTACATCATTGGATAAAGTATGAGAGGCTGATAAATCCATCTGCTTTCACAAACAAGTTGGAGAATTTCTTCCCTTATACATAGAGTTACAAAGCACTTTTATAATTCTTTACTTCTGAAAAATCAAATTTCCCCCCACAATTTTGGAATATTGGTTCCCTCTGAGTGAACCATGGAGCACTAATCATTTATCTTCCAACAAAGACATAAAAAAAATGGTCATCCAACAAAGTTTAAAAGTTCTTTTGCAACTGTGAGAAGCCTTTGCATTCTAAAAGTAGCATGGTACTGCCTGAGCCGGTTTGGCTCAGAGATAGAGCATTGGCCTGTGTACTGAGGGTCCCGGGTTTGATTCCAGTCAAGGGCACATGCCCGGGTTGCAGGCTTGATCCCCAGTAGAAGACATGCAGGAGGCAGCCAATCAATTATTTTTCTCTTATCATTGACATTTTTATCTTTCTTGTCCTCTCGCTTCCTTGCTAAAATCAATAAAAATATTTTTTAAAATAAATAAATAAATAAAATAAAAGTAACATGGTATTTCTTATAGAAGAGCTAACCATTCTCTGATTTATCTTCTTAAAATATATCATGTCCTAAACATAAATCTGTGATAATGGATAAATTATTTTATATAAATCTTACATTTATAGACAAATATAAAGTTATAATTATTGTAAGTAATATTCATTTGGCTAATTTCTTAAATCCTTTTCTAGGACTCATCTCTGCTTCTACAGTCTACTCAGAATGTGACTGTAAATGCACAGAACTCTGAAGGGGAGGTCACTGGGAGATTAAAAGTGGGTAAGTCAGGCTTCATCTCAGTGCTTTGCATATATGTGGTCCATAGTGTGCTGAACTAATGAATTTGTTTTTTTCTTCTCAAGAATTCAAAGTTATTTATGAATAATCAGTGTATGAATTTAGAAAAATATCATGTTGTGCTGACCACAGAGAATAAGTAGCATCAAGGGACAATAGTCTGAAGTATTTTAATTAAAGTTATTTTGATTCCAAGAAGTAGAGGAGTATTCAAAGTACCACAAGAAACATAATGATTATTACAGGTTACAGAAGAATCTCACAGAGATAAAAGAAAATTAACCAAAGTAGTTGGCCTAAAAAAACAGAGACCAGAGGCTGAGACCCCAAAGTATTAGTTTTTTCTCTCTTCCTCATTCTCTCCCTCTCTCCCTACCTGCTCCCTACATGTCCCTCTCCCCCTCTCTGCCATATACCCCTCCTTCCCAGTGTATATTTGCCTCTCTTTCCCTTGGGTATTACAGTTGCATCTTTCAAACTTTATATGACCCCCGGGACCTCTCTAGTTTCTCATTTGATTAATTGTAGTTCTCAACACCAACCAACTTAGTCTTTAATTTCATTAATTATAAATTCAATACTTATCTTCAACCGAATGCTTTTGGGCAGGCTATGCAAATCTATCCAACCAGAAAAGACCAGAGAATAAGGTCACATGGGAGTGAAGTCACATAAAAATTTGCATGGTGAGAAACAAGATTCAGGCAAAAATGTATGAAAGAAATAACAAAATGGTAAGCCAGCTTGTAAAAGAAAAATGTATATATTCTCTACACTATCAGCATTCTATATGTTTGGCAAATTTAAGAAATAAGATGGTCCTTTTGATTATGGGAAAATAGATGAAAGGTTTACTGCCAACACAAGCTGGTTTACTTTGTGTCTTTATTTATTTATTTATTTATTTATTTATTTATTATTTATAATTTATTTATTTAATGTTTTTATATATATGATTGAGTTTATTGCAAGAAATTGTAAGAGAAAATGGAGTTGCAGAAAGAAAAGTAGTGGAGACACAACTGGATAGGGGTTTTCACACTGAGCCTACTATCGGCAATCCTCAGCAGCCCTTCCGTGGATCCCTCCAATTCTCTCACATCAAAAAGTTGATCTTGCAAGTGATTTCCAAGGTGTAGATCCTCTCACAGGTTTCATAGTTCTACCTCTTCCTTCTGTGGCAAGGCTTCTCATAGTACCTACATCTGTTGATGTCCTCAATGAACGCATCCATGCTGAGAATATTGTTTAAGGTCCTGTATGCCCCTTCCACACTCCCTTCATATACCATCACAGTCCTGGCAATGAACTTCACATGTTCTGCTATGACCTTGGAATTAAGTCTTCAATCTGCAAGACCCCAAGCCCTCAGGACTCAGATGACGTAAAGGATGCTCACCAAAAGAAGCGAAAAAAGCACACAAAAACCACCCAGTGTTTCTTCTTTTAAATGGCTGTTTTCACAAAACAGAATAATGTTACATTGGAAACTACAGCCATATGTAAACCTGATGATTCCTGTTTATTATACTAATACAAGAACTTCATATTTTATATTGTTTTAATCTTTATAACTTATTCCAAAAAATTAATTTTATTTCACTTTTGCTTATAAGTTTATTTGATCACTAAGTCCAAAGAAATTCTCAGTGTATCTAGAGATGAACTTGAGTTTATTGGGCATACATGTTCTTAAAACTTTTCTAAGTCAAGTCATATGTTCTCCATTAATTATATAGTATTATAATTTATCATTACAATCTTTTCTTAAAATTCTTTAAATGTCTAGCTTTAAAATGTTTGAGGGATTTCCCTTTTGTCATTTATTCAACAAACATTTGTCAAATGTCTATGTACCAGTTTCTATATACTGCCAAGTAATTAATAACATGTAAGTGTTGTTACTAGAAATTCCAAAAGTAAATAATTCCTTTTATATTCTTAAAAACAATTTAAAACAGATTCTCATTTCCTCACTTAATTTTTGGTTAAATGTGGATTTTCATATATCATTCAAGGGAATTAGAGATAATAAATCTGTTACCAATTTCATGGATAAAACAAAAACAAACAAAACTGAAGCACTAAAAAAGCTAATTTGCTCAAAAATGAACAGCTAGTTAGTAGAAAAGCCAAACCAAGAATGACCTCAGGACTTCTTTCTCTCAGCCAGGAGTGTTTCCACTAGCCTTCCCTTTCTCTAACCAGATTTCCTTAAATTATGGCATGCCAGTAACTGTTATAGCTGTTGCAAATACAGTTACAATGGGTGGGTGGGGAGGGAGTTTCCCATTGGAATTACTTTGGTTTAACATGTTAGCCTCAGATCTTCACTTTTAACCTTAGTTTCATGCCTAATCACTAAAATTAGTGATTTCCATTAACTACTAAAGGCCCATTGCACAAAATTCATGTAAGGGGCTCGGCCTCCACTGCTGTGGCTTTGTCTAAAAGGTCGTCCAAAAAGATGTCCAGAAGGACATCTGGTTTAATTATCATACTATGCTTTTATTATTATAGATTTGGTTGGAAGGCCTCTTATATTGAAAATCCTGAGCTAAAGAATATAACTCAGTTCACCAAATCCAAGATTATTTTCAGTAGATGACTTCTAATAAAGTCATTCCAGCCTTATATTTTCTAAAAGAAGTTAAATTTAGCCAATCCAGATATTAAAATGTAGCTTACATGAACTAGTAAAATTAACCCCATTTGATTAAATGAATAATTATTTATCATTAAACAACTGAAAAAATTGGCAATCAGTAAAGTCAAAACCAAAGTCTTAAATTCCAAAAGAAATCAAGCACTGAAAAGCAAGCACTAATAGCTAGCATTTCGAATCTTTGAAATATGTTTTTTTCTCTTTTTAAAAATTTCTTTATTTATTAAGGCATCACATATTTGTCCTCATCCCCCCCATTCCCATCCCAATCCCCTCCCCACGAATGCCCCCACCTGTTGTCCATGACCACTGGTTAGGCTCATATGCATGCACACAGTCCTTTGGTTGATCTCTCCCCCATATTCCCACCCTTCCCCACCTTTCCTCTGAGGTCCAACAGTCTGATCCATGCTTCCTTGTCTCCGGGTCTCTTCTTGTTCATCAGTCTATGTTGTTCATCATTTCTCCTAGATCAGTGAGATCATGTGCTACTACAAATACACTTATAAGAACCAAAAATGAGACAAGCAATAACGGTTATGCTGAGAGGAAAATGAATCAGTCTGTAGTGAATATCTTTCTCGGCCAACAGGTCTTTTGAGTCCCAATTTCAATGTCAAACAGTTCCAATGTGTACATGTCAGGAATGATATTTCAGTTCTGGATGGTGGACAAATGGTGGCAATGCAGGTCTTACTCTCCCTGGTTTGGTCCTGGGCAACCTGCAGTGATGCACAGCTGCTGACTGCTAGTATGGCAAGGCGTCATCAGTGTTTTCCATCTCTGAACTGCTTCTCTTCAGTCTTCATGGCTGGAGTAGTCCTGTCAATTCCTCTCTGTTGCAGGAATCCACATGGTCTCGGAGTTGTTTTCTGAAAATATACAAACATGTTCTTGACCAAAAGTTAATAAAGGAATCTTTTCTATAAATTTGACTTGTGATCCTTTTTCATTTTTTGCTCTAACAAATTTCCTTTGGCTTGTTTTGATACCATGCATGTTTTACATGGGTGTCTTGTTATTAGCATTACAAAGAAAATTAATTTTCTAAAGTAAAAATTTTCTAGATGTAATTTACTTACAGGATATTTTTTCTTACATGGTATTCTTCTACTACCCCACTCCCTTTTTTACAATAATTTAAATATTAGGAGGCTTTCAGAAATTTTATAATGTAGTCTTGATAGCTTTTACATTTTAACTTTTTGCATTAAAATATGACAGCTTTAGATTCATTACATGTTACACAATTTTATTATGAGATGAACTACATAAACATTTTAGTTAACACTTTAGGAACAGCTTTTTGTCCAGTACAATTAATTTTTCTATAATATTCGTTTATTTCAATTAGCCAATATAAATTAGCCTGAAAATTTGACTACTATTTTACTGTCAAATTTAATACTCTAACAACAATCTTATTTTACCTTGTAAATAGTAGTGGAAAGGATTATTTGCCTTTTTCCTTTTTTTAAAAAAATATATTTTTATTGATTTTTTACAGAGAGGAAGGGAGAGAGATAGATAGCCAGAAATGTCGATGAGAGAGAAACACCGACCAGCTACCTCTCGCACACCCTCCACCGGGCATGTGCCCGCAACCAACGTACATGCCACTGACCGGAATCGAACCCGGGACCTTTCAGTCCACAGACTGACGCTCTACCACTGAGCCAAACCGGTACGGCTTATTTGCCTTCTTGAGTAGGTCCTGAGCATTCCTGGTGCTAGGCTGGATCTAGATATCAAAAACCCACTTCCTCACACCAAAAGTACAAGATAATTCAAACAAGTCTTGTTGCAGTGAGAGGGCAACAAGACTTGCTGTCAGCCAAGTCTCTGTCTGTTACCTGGGTCCCAATTTGAGCTGGGCATGGGAAGTTAAGCAGCCATGGGGGCAGGAGACCTCTCTCAGAAGGGGTGAGGGTGCAGGCCCCTGCAAAGTTGGGGAGTGAGGGTCTGTGCCCCATTTCTGTTGACCCCAAAGTTCTCTCCTGCTGGCCCCTCTGAGACTGTGCCTGTCTTAGGTTGTTCCTTTCCTGAGGAATCTTACCTATCTCTGGCTAACCAGCCATCCTCTGGGGCCAAGCAGGATGATGTGAGGTTCAGTTCTGTCTTCTTTGCAGCCTATGCCCCTGTGGCCTCCATGCCTAGCACCTGCCTTCTCTCTCCTGCTGGCGGGCCACAACACTAATCACATATCTTGTGAAACCCAGGTTTCTTCTCCAGGGAATGCCCAGCTCACCCCACTGGGTGAGGGACAGATCCTTAGAACCAGCCATCATGAGGCTTCAACCTGCATGAATAGAAAGCTCAGGCAACAGCTGTGGGCAAGGCAATTGGATTGTGAGAAGAGGGCCAAAATGGCAAGAGGGGCCAATATAGAATGCTCAGGTGCCTTCCCAGGGGGCCCTCTATTCAATGAAAGGGAGTAAATCCTTTTATGTCCTTTTTAAATTGCTGCCAGACATTCAAAGAATTAGTTTGTAAGTTTGTCTGGGATAATTGTATATTATGCTGTTGTAATTCTAAAATATCAAGGGATGTGCTACCTTTGTCTCCAAGTACCAAAAAGATGAGTTTTTATTGATCCCCAAGGGTGTGAGATACTATTATGGATAATGGGGATAACACAAATCTTGGAAAAATTATAATGATATTGTAGAATAATATCATGTAAGGATATTCTTTGCTCTAGGCTAGGGTTGTCGAACTCAATCAGAGAAGGGGCCAAAATCTAAAATCCAGCCTAAATCACGGGCCGAATGGTTTACTGAACAGTCATAAACTGTCATTGTGATGGAAACGCAGCGGAGTGCAGTGATGACAGCGCGGTGCGGGCCACATTGCAAGGCCTGGTGGGACGGATTTGGCCCGCGGGCCTTGTGTTTGATACATGTGCTCTAGGCCATGGCAATTTCATTTCAAACCGGCTATCAATTTCTTTTTGTATAGGCAAGGTGTTAGTTACATTTTCTGCACCTCTCCCAGGAGCAAGTAGTGATAGCCTCTTCCTTTGGTGTCCACACAATCCAGAAACCTCTCTTTATGTTTTTTTTTTCTCTTTTTATTAACTTTATTTGGGTGATATTTGCTAATAAATGTATATATGTATCAAGTGTATATTTCTATGATATACATAATCTTCATTTTGCATTATGTGCCAACCACCCAAAGTCAAATAATCTTCTATCATCATGTATTTTACCTAGTTGAACTAAAAGATATCAAATCATAAGCAACAATAATGGAATCTTACCTTATAAATTCAGCTCTGGTCACTACAGTTAATTTTCTTTTGATTTAAAATAACAGAAACACATTCTCATTAGCCAAAAAATGAGACACCTCAGAAGTATGCAAATTGTACTCAAATGGGTTTATGGGGTTTGATATTTGTTTTTAAATGATGGTATCTTAAATTCAAGCAATCATAGTGGAATGGGGAGGACTGTTAATGAGGCATATTGTATGACAGGAAGAATTTGGTTGTATTTTCACTAGACAAACCCTAAGCCAATTTCACAAATTCATCAGATCATAAAACCTTCCTTTATTTATTTCCTATATGTTTTATTTATTTCCTTCTTTGTAATTTTACCAGATTGTTGTTTTACTTATCACCAAGATAGAATTTAAATTCTATTTCTTAAAGACCTTTTCTACAACAGATTACTTGCTCAGTTATAATCCATGTCCAACTAAGTTATAAAAACTAGTAGATTGCCCAAACTGGTTTGGCTCAGTGGACAGAGTGTCGGCCTGCAAACTCAAGGGTCCCGGGTTTGATTCTGGTCAAGGGCATGTACCTTGGTTGCGGGCACACACCCAGTAGGGAGTGTGCAGGAGGCAGCTGAATGTTTCTCTCTCATCAATGTTTCCGACTCTCTATCCTTCTCCCTTCCTGTCTATAAAAATCAATAAAATATATATTTTAAAAAACCAGTAGATTATTAATAGAAGTTAAAAGATCAATTACAAACTTAATTATTTTCAGAGATTATTATCCCCGTGATTTTGGGCTTATCTTTGGAGAATAATTTCTTCTGAAGTGGAAAACATTTAAATTTAACATTCAATGTTTGTATATTTTTAATAAAGTGAAAATGAAACTTTATTCACCACTGTATCTTTATTAAATAGTACCCTTTACTGGAGTGCCTCCTTCTCCCTCAGCAGGGGACCATAAAGTGTTTCCTCAAGGTCCATTCAGATATCATCTCCCCAGCATTCTGTTTCTGACCTCCAGGGTGGACCATGAATTATTTGTCAAGGTTCTCATTGAACCCTGTCCATGCTGGTATTGTGGCATCTATCAAATTGTTCTGGAACTAAACTTATGTGCTTTTTTCTTTTATAAACTGTGAGCTACATCTCACTCACTTATACCCTGGTATATCTTTAATTTTTATAGCACAGGACCTTAAGAATAAAAAAATACAATAAGTTTGTGTTGAACAGAACTGCATTTTCTTTTATTCAAGCAAATGCTTATATGGTTTATTAATAAGGAAAATGATACAGCTAAATTCATTTTTTAAGATTTCATCAATGTATATAAAACAATGCTTACATAAAAAAGTCTTTAACACCTTTTACTTAATAATCCTCCTAAAATTGTTATATGAATCTTCAGTGAGCAAAACTCTTTGAACTCTTATTGGATAAATTATTTCAAGTTTTTTTTCTTCTTAATTTTAAACTCAGATCACTGTATATTCAAGATAACTATATATTCACCTTTTAATGCAAATCAGTGTTTACACATAAGTTATATCAGTGACCTAGAAAATGACACTGAATCACTGGGTGATTGAGTCTGAGTGAAAGCTCAAAAGAGCAAAAATGCAGGCAACTATACAGGTAACTATCAAAAAAAAATTAAGGCAGGCTTCATTCAGAGAAAGAAGATAAAAGAGGAAAAAAATGAATTCACTTTATAAGTCACACACACACTTAAATGAAATATCAGTGAAGGGTTTTGGGGTACAAATTAATAAAACAATATAAGAATACATTGGTAACCATGTCCAAAATAGATTCATGTATTAATTGAAAAGCTTCTACTTAATTTCTAGCATGTATCCATCAACTTTAATAAGGAACACAGGGACACATAAACAAAAAGTATAAGCTATTCATTTTCTCAATAAATTTACTTTTCTAGATAGGAATATAAAGCTAACATGCCAAAGAACTAGGAAAACACTTGTAATTCTGTAAGCAAATGGTGAAAGCTGTGTTCTAAAAAGATTAACTCATTGTGCTGCCAGGGTTAGAAAATTGAAAATACAAAGTGAAATTATGAAATATAAGGATGAATACATGATCTTATTCACTACAAGAGGATACCAGCATCCCCAGTGCCTGGCCCATTGGTTAAATGTTTGCTGAATACAGTAATGATTTGAAATGCAATGGATCTAAAGCACACATGAGGGAATTAAACTTGGAGGAGAAAGTGATGCCTTTGTCACTGAAATAAAAAGAAAGAAGGAGTGAAGAAGACAAAAATTTGAGGTAATTCTTCCATATTGATGTCTGTTTTTTCCATGGAATAAGAGGTGAAGAAGTTTTCTGAGGATAAGGGCAGATAAGATAGTCTGAGTGTGTCATTTTCTGGGTTAACTTTCACCATTAAAGTGAGCCATTTATAAGATTGTCTTTCATGCTGAAACCGGTTTGGCTCAGTGGATAGAGCGTCAGCCTGCGGATTGAGGGGTCCCAGGTTCGATTCCAGTCAGGGGCATGTACCTTGGTTGCGGGCACTTCTCCAGTAGGGGGTGTACAGGAGGTGGCTGATCGATGATTTTCATCCATGTTTTTAACTCTCTATCCCTGTCTCTTCCTCTCTATAAAAAAATCAATAAAATGTATTTTTTTAAAAAAGATTGTCATAAATCTCACATTTCATAATACAAAATTCTTATTTGGTTAATACTCAAAAGAATGCAGATTTAAATAATATGAATGGCAGAATTAAATTGTTTTTGGCAGATTTCAAAAAAACTAAAAATTAACTTTTAAATAATTTATAAATACATATATTTGATAAATATTAGCATAGGTTTGACAGGAATTAATTGTAATAATATAATAGCTTTAGGCTTAGAACTTAAAAACTCATAACATAAAAAACCTATTAGTTAAAAAATTCTAAATATTAAATAATTTGCTAATGCTGGATGAGATGTAATGTGTAAAAATAGTGATCATGACACTACATGTAGTAAACTCTTTATAATACTGTTCCAATTAATCCTTTAGGTCCCAAAATGGTAGAAGTCCAGAGTCAACAGTTTCAGATCAATTCCAAAGGAAGCAAGCCACTGTTTACTGTTGATGAAAGTGAAGTTGTGGTTGGTACAGATAGGCTTCGAGTAACTGGTATGTAGTAACTCTTTTTATTTTAATTGAGATATAATTGACATGTAACATTAAATTAGTCTCAGGTGTGTAACATAATGATTCCGGGTTTGTATATATTGTGAAATGACCACCACAATAAGTCTACTTAATATCCATCACCACACATACTTACAATTTTTTTCTTGTGATGAGAACTTTTAAAATGTTCTCAAAAACAACTTTCAAACATACAATGCAGTATTATTGACTATAGAACTATGGAATATATTACATCTCATGATTTTAATTTATAGCTGAAATTTTGTATCTTTTTTATGTTTTTTTAAAAATTTATTTTATTGTTTATAATATTACAAATAGCAGTACATATGTCTCCTTTTCCCCCCCCATTGACCTTCCAGCGGCCTTCCCTACCCCCAGCACATGCCCTCACCCCACTTCCCCAGTGTCTTTGCTTATGCATTGGTTATGCTTATATTTATGCATAAAAGTCATTTGGTTGATCTCTTACTGCCCCCCATGAACACTCCCCAGCCTTCCCACTGTAATTTGACAGTCTGTTCGATGCTTCTCTGCCTCTGTATCTATCTTTTTGTTCATCAGGTTATAATGTTCTTTATTATCCATAAATGAGTGAGGTCATGTATTTTTCTTTCACTGCCTGGCTCATTTCACTTAGCATAATGCTCTCCAGGTCCTTCCATGCTGCTGCAAATGGTAAGAATTTCTTCTTTTTATAGCAGTGTAGTATTCCATTGTATAGATGTACCATAGTTTTCTAATCCACTCATCTGCTGATGGGCATTTAGGCTGTTTCCAAATCTTAGCTATGGTGAATTGTGCTGCTATGAACATAGGGGTGCATATATCCTTTCTAATTGGTGTTTCTAGTTTCTTGGGATATATTCCTAGGAGTGGGATTACTGGGTCAAATGGAAGTTCCATTTTCAGTTTTTTGAGGAAATTCCATACTGTTCTCCACAGTAGTTGCACCAGTCTGCATTCCCACCAGCAGGGCATGAGGGTTCCTTTTTCTCTGCATCCTCTCCAGCACTTGTTATTTGTTGATTTGTTGATGATAGCCAATCTGACAGGTATGAGGTGGTACCTCATTGTTTTGATTTGCATTTCTCGGGTGATTAGTGACTTTAAGCATGTTTTCATGTGTCTCTTGGCTTTCTGAATGTTCTATTTGGAAAAGTGTCTATTTAGGTCCTTGGCTCATTTTTTGATTGGGTCATTTATGTTCCTTTAGTTAAGTTGTAGGATTTCCCTGTAAATGTTGGAGATTAAACCCTTATTGGAAAAAATCAATAGCAAATATGTTCTCCCATGCAGTGGGCTTTCTTATTGTTTTGTTGATGGTTTCTTTTGCTGTGCAGAAGCTTTTTATTTTGATGTAGTCCCATTTGTTTATTTTTTCCTTAGTCTCTCTTGCCCTAGGATTTGTGTCTGTAAAGATATTGCTACGACATATGTCTGGAATTTTGCTTCCTATAGAGTCTTGTAGAATTTTTATGGTTTCCCATCTTATATTCAAGTCCTTTAGCCATTTTGAGGTGTGTTTTTTTTGTGTGTGTGTGTATGTGTATGGTGTGAATTGGTGATCTAGTTTCATTTTATTGCATGTATCTGACCAAATTTCCCAGCACCATTTATTGAAAAGGCTGTTTTGACTCCACTGTATGCTCTTGACTCCTTTATCAAATATTAATTGAATATAATGGCTTGGGTCAATTTCTGGGTCCTCTATTCTGTTCCATTGTTCCATATGTTTGTTCTTGTGCCAGTACCAGACAGTACTGAGAAACTGTCACTTGATAATATAGTTGAATGTCTGGTATTATGATCCCTCCAACTTTGTTCTTCTTTCTCAGGACAGCTGTGGATATTTGGGGTCTTTTTTATTCCGTATGAATTTTGGAGAGTGTGTTCTATATCTTTGAAATATGCAATTGGTATTTTAATAGGTATTGCATTGAATCTATAGATTGCTTTAGGTAGTATGGATATTTTAAAGATGTTGATTCTACCAATCCATGAACATGGTATGTTCTTCAATTTGTTTATGGCTTCTTTATTCAATGTCCTATAGTTTTCTGAATACAGGTCTTTTGAGTCCTTGCTCAAGTTATTCCTAGTTATCTTAGTTTTTTTTGGTACAATGGTAAATGGGATTTTATTTCATTTCTCTTTCTGTGAGTTCATTATTGGTGTATAAAAAGGCCTCATATTTTTGGGTATTAATTTTGTATCCTGCTACATTGCCAAATTCACTTATTAGGTCTAGTCATTTTTTTAATGGCGTCATTGGTGTTTCCTATGTATAATGTTATGTCATCTGCAAATAAGGATATTTTTACTTCTTCTTTTCCAATTTAGATGCATTTTATTTCTTCTTCTTGTCTAATCTCAATGGCTAGTTCTAGTACTATGTCAAAAAGGAGTGGTGAGAGTGGGCATCCTTGTCTTATTCCTGTTCTTAGGGGAAATGGGTTTAGTTTTTGTCCATTGAGTATGATATTGGCTCTAGGTTTGTCATATGGGGGCTTTTATTATATTGAAGTATGATCCCTTTATTCCCACTTTGCTAATAGTTTTTATCAAGAAAGAATGTTCAATTTTATCAAATGCTTTTTCTGCATCGATTGATATGGTTATGTGATTTTTGTCTCTTGTTTATGTGATGTGTCATATTTATTGATTTGCGGATATTTTACCATCCTTGCATCCTTGGAATAAATCTCACTTGGTCATGTTGTATGATCTTTCTAATGTATTTCTGACTTTGATTTGCTAGAATTTTGTTGAGGATTTTAGCATCTATGTTCATCAGATATATTGGCCTGTAATTCTTCTTTGTGGTGTCTTTATCTGGTTTTGGGATTAGGATAATGCAGGATTCATAGAAGAGCTTGTAAGAGTGCCTTCCTCTTGGATTTTTTGAATAGTCTGAGGAGGATAGGTTTTAGTTCTTTTTTGAAAGCTTAGTAGAATTTCCCTGTGAAGCTGTCTGGACCAGGGCTTTTGTTTACTGGAAGATTTTTGATCGTTGCTTCAATTTCTTCAGTAGTTATTGGCCTACTCAGGTTTATTTATTCTTCTTGGTTGAGTTTTGGGAGCTTATATTTTTCTAATATATCCATTTCATCTAGGTTGTCCTTTTTGTTGGAATATAGTTGCTCATGGTATTTTTCATAATCATTTGTATTTTTGTGGGATCAGTTGTTATTTCACCTCTTTCATTTCTAATTTTGTTTATTTGGGTTCTCTCTCTTTGCTTCTTGGTGAGCCTGGCTAGAGTTTTATCAATCTTTTTTTATCCTTTCAAAGAACCAGCTCTTGGTTTTATTGATCATTTGTATTTTTTTTCTTTTTGTCTCTATTTCATTTATCCGTGCTTTGATCTTTATTATTTCTTTCCTTCAGCTTATGTTGGGCTTTTCCTTTGCTCTCTTTCTAACTCTTTGAGTTGTAGCATTAGGTAATTTATTACCATTGTTTCTTGTTTACCGCAGGAGGCTTGTAGAGCTATGAACTTCCCTCTTAAGACTGCTTTCACTGTGTCCCATTGATTTTGAATTTTTGTGTTTTCATTGTCGTTTGTTGCCATGATGCTTTTTATTTCTTCTTTGGTCTCTCTAGTAACCCAGTCATTGTTTAATAGCAATGCTATTTAGCCTCCAAGTATTTGATTTTTTAAATGTTTTTATGGTAGTTGATTTCTAGTTTTATGTCATTGTGAGCTGAGAAGTTGCTTGATATGATTTTTATTTTCTTGAATTTGAAGAGACTTAACCCAATATATGGTCTATCTTTGAAAATTACCCATGTGCACTGGAGAAGAATGTATATACTGTGGCTTTGGGGTAAAATGTTCTGAAGATGTCAATTAATTTCATCTGATCTACTGAGTCATTTAGGATTGATGTTTCTTTGCTGATTTTTTATTTAGAAGATTTGTCCAATGGTGATAGTGGAGTATTAAAGTCCCCTATTATGACTATATTGTTTTCAATCTCTCCCTTGATAGCCTCCATAATTTTATTTTATTTTATTTTTTATTTTTTTATGTATTTGGATGCTCCTGTATTGGGTGCATGTATGTTTACCAGAGTTATTTCTTCTTGTTATATTGCTTCCTTTAGTATTATGAAGTGGCCTTCCTTATCTCTTGTTATGCCCTTCACTTTGAGATCTAATTTGTCAGATATAAGTATTGCTTCTCAGCTTTTTCTGCTTTGTTTGTTTCCATTTGCCTGAAAGACATTTACCATCCCTTCATCATCAGTCTGTGTGAGTCCTTTTATCTGAGGTGGGTTTCCTGTAGAAAGCAGATATGTAGGTCATATTTTCTTATCCACTCAGATACTCTATGTCTTTTTATTGGGGCATTGAATCAATTTATATTTAAAGTTATTATTGATAGGTACTTATTTATCACCATTTTTATTTGTTATGCCTGTGTTCCTTCTTCGTTTCCTATTTCTTCTTTTTACAGCAGATCTTTTAGCATTTCTTGCATTGCTAGTTTAGTGATAATAAATTCCCTTAGTCCTTTTTAGTCTGTGAAGCTCCTAATTTCATCCTAAATTTTGATTGATAGCCTTGCTGGTACAGTATTCTTGGATTCAGACCCTTCCTTTGCATAACTTTGTATATTTCATTTCATTCCCTTCTGGCCTGATGTGTTTCTTATGAGAAATCAGTCACTAGTCTGATGGGGGATCCTTTGTAGGTAACTTTTTGTCTCTCTCTGGCCGCTTTTAAGATTCTTACTTTGTCATTGGTGTTTGCCAATTTAATTATAATGTGCCTTGTTGTTGGTCTTTTGGGGTTCATTGTGTTTGGGACTCTGTAAGCTTTTTGGATTTGTGCGTGCTTTTTCTTCCTGATATTGGGAAAGTTTTCTGTCAATATTTCTTCACAGATTTTCTATTTCTTGCTCAGTTTCCTCTCCTTCTGGCACCCCTATTATGCAGATGTTGTTTCATTTTATGTTGTCCCAAAGTTCCCTT